TTACAGAGAAACTTACTCCAAACTCTGGATTCTCACAAGAAATTTGTGTCACTTTTTTCTTTCTTGTATGGGTGTGGAATTTGTAGTGTCTACTTTTACATTGGTAGACATCGTGTTAGCATTGTGTAAGCATTAGTCTCAGGGTCATTTAGTCAAAAGGGCTGAAGTCCCTCTCCAAGTTTTCAGATTCATCATCATCAGAAAAAAAGTCATCGTCATCTATGTCTTCCTCATCGTAATCCTCGTGCCATTCTGGAACGTATTCATCGTCATACTCGTCATCCTCCTCTGCTTCATCGCCAGGGTCCTCGCCGGCGTAGTTGTTGTTGTTGTCAGAGTCTCCAGACTCAGAGCCTCCATCAGATTTGGACCTGAAATAAAAAAAGGAAAACTTGTACATTTCAAGAATCGTCAGAAGTCAGTCATGCTTCTCTGTAAACGTGTGGCGGCTCACTCTTTGTTGGCATCTGCGTGGTTAGCCAGATTAGAAGCCTGTGCTGTCTCCTGGTCTGGCCCAGTCTTGGACTGATATCCTACACGGAAGTCCTGCCAAAAAAGACCATTTGTCCCCGATGCTCAAATGTGTGCTTTGAAGGCTTTTAATGAACAACCTCAGAAAGTCCATGAGTGATAATACAGGAGTAGATTTACCTGAGTGGAGTGCTGGAGGATGGCCACAAGACGCTCCTGAATTCGGCGAATGAGCTCCAGGCCAGTGTTTAGGTGTTCGGGTTTTAGGAGTCGGACACAGGATGCAAGATCAGTGCACTGCAGCAGCGTCTCCTCTGAAACCAAAATCACAACTAATTTTATCATCATGCAACCAATGCATCAGAACTAAACATGACTGAATTAGAGCACAACAGTCACAACAGGTTTTGGAAGTAAAAATCCTATTCGATATATAAACCTTTTAAGACCATGAGCTCAGACGATATGTGCTTGTGCAGGGAAAGAAAACAAAAACATACATACATGGATAATTTGTTAATAGTTTCTTATAAGAGCTTTTTGGTTTGGCTTGGCTTAAAGCCTACAACTATTCACTCCGAAATGTTTAGAAATCCCTATGGAGAATGTGAATGGGAAAAATACTTCCAAAACGTTTGTGGCTACTGTTGCAGTCTATTGGCATATGTAAGCAATGCAGATTGTCTGATTGGCAGAGTGCAGAGTGAGTTTTCCCTATCACCAACCAAGCAGGATCTGCAGAGCGTTAGTATGAAGGTCCAGAGCTTCGGTCTGTTGCTCCATCACATCCATCTTCTCAGTGTCCTGGTTGTAATAGCTGTAAACACACGAGTATGCCAGCACCTACATGACAAATGACACAAATACAGTGATAAGAATAAAGAAAACAACTGGAAACATTGAAAAAAAAAATAATATTAAAGCCATTTAAGATTCCCACCTTTCGAGCTTGGGCAAGAATCTTGCAGGCGTCGATCACAAACGTCAAAGACTTCATCTGTAAAGCTTCGTTTATAGAAAACACCTTGTTCTCCAGATTGATTGCAAAGTCCTATGGAAAGCAATAGTCAGACACTTAAAAAAAAAACACACTAAAAGGTTTGAAATGAATGTGATTAATGGCTCCAACAAACCTTGGCTTGGTTATGAAATGTGCATCTCTCATT